TAGGCTGGCCACAATAAAAGGCAACTCTGAAACGTGCAGTTTTGCTTTATTGGGGGTGTCTGGGGGGGTCCGAAAACCAGTCAGTTTAACCCTAACCCTAACATGTCACCCATTGAGCATGTTTGGGATGCTCTGGATCGGCGTATACGACAGCGTATTCCAGTTCCTGCCAATATCCAGCAACTTCGCACAGCCATTGAAGAGGAGTGTACCAACATTCCACAGGCCACAATCAACAACCTGATCAACTCTATGCGAAGGACATGTGTTGCACTGCGTGAGGCAAATGGTGGTCACACCAGAAACTGACTGGTTTTCGGACCCCCCCGAGACCCCCCCAATAAAGCAAAACTGCACGTTTCAGAGTGGCCTTTTATTGTGGCCAGCCTAAGGCACACCTGTGCAATAATCATGCTGTCTAATCAGCATCTTGATATGCCACACCTGTGAGGTGGGATGGATTATCTCGGCAAAGGAGAAGTGCTGACTATCACAGATTTTTTCAGATTTGTGAACAATATTTGAGAGAAATGGTTATTTTGTGTATGTAGAAAATGTTTTAGATATTCGAGTTCATCTCATGAAAAATGGGAGCAAAAACAAAAGTGTTGCATTTATATTTTTGTTCAGTTTAATATTTAAAGAACTTCAGGGAGAGCAGCAGCCAATAGAATCAATGGTCGGGTGCAAATTTGAAACAAGCAGACAGTCAATAATGGATATACATACATAAAGGCAGGATGTGCCATATGGCAAAGTCAGGCGCGGGATAAATTAATTAAATTAAATGAACTTAATTCTGCCAGATGGGGTTTCATTATTAATGTGGTGTGGATGACATTAATCAAAGTGTAGTTATTTATCTTAAATTGATGTAAAGAGCATGGTTTTATGTTTGAAAGGCTGTTTGACGATAGTCTGCTCTTACCATGTTGGTTATTCAGTTCCACGAGGTAATACAAGTTGACAGGGGTTTGTGAAGGGAGAATGAGACATCAGCTCGATCCCATGTTAACACGAAATGACACATCGTGTCACAACTGATTCTAAGATAACTCTTTATTCTTCAAGCAAATGATCATTATCTGGTTGTTTATACTTTATACTAATGTCATAAGATTGTTACAAATCAGTGTGCAAATTAATTTTAAACAAACCAGTAGGAAGTAGCACCAACAGTAAAGTATCAGCTTAACCGTGACAAGAAGTAGACGACAAGAGGAGAATGAGAGAGTGGGAAGGGAGGAAGGAAGGAAGCCAGGGGGGGTTAGGTCCTGTTCAACAATGACTGTCTTTCTTCAAAGAGACACACAATGGTCTGGCCCACATTTCCATTCACAGACAGACAGTGTGAAACAGAGATGTGTAAGTGTATGTAGTCACTATCACATCACCCATTGGCTTGTGGACTACCGTTTCGAGGGCTTGGCAATTTGGCCGTCACCATCTTTGCTTTAGCAGTTCAAAGTGACAAGAAAGGGTGAAGCCAATATAACACTGAAATTGATCTTTTAAGGTGACTAAAAAAGCGATTTAACTTTTATGAACCAAAACCACACTGATAAAGGTTAAAGTTAGAAGAAGAAGAACACACAAACTACACCCAAACAGGACAATATATTGTTAGTTATCACAAGGCTCTAAACATAGCTTGCTTTATCATCTCATTTATTCCAAATGGGACCATAATTTAACAAATCATTATGCAACAGTCTATTAAGGAAAACGTGATGCTAGAAATTGAGACCATACACTAATTTGGAAAATGTTTACTTATTGTTATAAACCTAGTGACCAGTAGGGTCATTGTTTCATAGACTTCTATACAATCGGAATAATATTAGCAGCGTAGTCAGTGTAGTTTCCCCCGGCTGGTTATTATGCAATACCTGCAGACAAATAAACCCCAATGTAGCAGCGTGAAAGCCACCATTACAGCAACACTCATTAGTCTGTGTAGAACTCTGCATTGACTCTCATGCAGAGATCCCACAAAAAATACAGAGCACTCACTCCGACACCCCCATAAGATCCAACAAAATAAAGAGAGATAACATAGAGAACTTCCAAGGCAACAGCTTTTTTCATATTCTGAATTGCCCGCACAAAACCTGACCTTCTGCAACACAAGAATGTTGCATTAATGCAAACTGCAAGGGCAGAATCCCTCCAGGGTGGCACTGAAGAGAAAGCTGGATGATATGCTAGCAATTAGTGCTTGGCAATAAAATAGTTTGTTCACATTATTGAGTCTTCTGAAAAACGCAGTTATGTGTTTGCCTGCGGTCCGTAATTGGAGTGACGCGCACTGTCAAAATGTTAACATGCACTTCAGATCCACAGGTTGCATTTGTTAAATGTTTTGCAACGAGCAACAGGCAGCCTGAAAATAACCAGACACATGCGGTATAACTTTAATTTATATCATACTGTTGTCATTGTTTTTGCAGTGCATATCAGTACACATTAGAAGAAAATGTAAGTGAATTTTAGAAATGTACTGGCAAATCTGTGTTGATGTCTGCACACTCATTCATCTAATGTCTTTGTTTTCATTTCTCTGATTAGTTCTCCCACATTATAAATGTACAGAATCCCTCTGTCCAGAAATATGTATTCTAAAAGCTGCTTGAGAATATTGAAAAAAGAGCAATCACACAGCCCAATATTTCCTAGTTTTTACATAAATGGCCTTTGGATAGCGGGCGCAAGAAGATAAGTGAAGTGGCCTTGTGCATTTGCCCAGTTTATTTTCCTATTTAAAATAAATGAAGTATGTCATGGTTGATTTTCCATTCTTGCCTTATTTTAAGTGTTACACAAAAAAACAATTAAAATGCCTGCTGATGAAGGCGGCACTGAGCGTTGATTGGTGGGATGTTGACTCATAACCAACTAGGGGTGTTGAAAATAATCGTTTCTACGATGCATTGCGATGCGGACGTGGACGATTCGGTATCGATGCAGTGACGGAAGATAATCGATTATAGCGTAGTAACGTTGCTTCCTGATTTTCCGGCCGCGGCTTTACTATAACGTTTTTTTTTCTGTCACTTTAATATCAAATCGGTCTGTGACGCAGAGATCAGGGAACAGACGTGACAGAGGCACAGCAACACCAAACACGGAGCAGTCTGCTTTATCCACCAACACAAGAACACCAGTCCAGAATCAACAGCAGAAGGACCCGCTCAGAATCACTCCGTGTCGCTGCGGCTCAGAGACACAGGGATTTATGTTTTTCAAAAATAATCGCGTTACAATCATGTCAGGTTTTTTGTGGATTTAATTAAGTCTTGGATTGCAGAGTATGAATGTACTCTAGCAATTTTCAGACGATATATACGTGTGTAAAGTTTGTGAAGGCAGGAGGAAAAAAGCTTCCGCGATCATCGTCTCCTCTCCGTTCCTCCAAACCCCGCCCCCTCCCTGAAAATAATGAGTGACAGGCTGATAGTAACCTGATAGAAACTTTATTATTCACTTAATCACTGAGATATAATGAAGCTAACTTAATCTCATACATTCATGGGATTTATGTAACAGTAAGACAGAGAATGTAAGTGTGCACCCACATGCAGTATTTTTGTTTGTATATGCTATTGTAAATACTCCTGTTGTCTGCTGTGTTCAGACTCAAGTCCTGTGTGTGATGCCACATTCAGGACATTCAGTGTCCTTTTTTTAACAGAAGACTGTTGCTAGAAGCTGCAGCTAGACTGCAGAAGTATTATTTTTTTGTTTTTGAGGATGGAACAACTTCACACACAGATATAGGGAGGCTAAACCTATACAATTCATTTATTTTGGTTTATAAATTAATGTCAAGACATTTATGTTATTGATTTCTGAAGCACTTTCTAAATAATAAAAAGAGAGTTCATA